ATATTCTTGTATGACGTTTGATATTTTTCAAAACGAACAAATCTGACCCTAAAAGGTACGTAGTCAGCCGGGAGTCAGTCGGAGACCCTCAAAGGTATGCGAGGTCTAATTTTCGACCCTAATTATAAAAGGTCCGTCGAGCCCCCCTTAGTAAGAGAGTACTTTCGGTTGGTTGTCATCGCAGGAGTTGTGTGGTGTGCGCATGCATGCCTAAGTTTGAGCGGGACAAGTTTTTTTACATCTTACAAGGACACAAGGTTAGTAGAGCCTAGAGCTGAGAGGCGCGCAGGTGTACTAGCGCCACCCTTGATTACCAATGACGAAATAGAATTAACTAATAAAAATAAATAAATTGACTTTATTTAACAAGGGTGACATATATTACTGGTAGCCCAGTAGTTTGCATTATGGCCCTCCTACAATTAATTAATGAAACTGAAATGAATGATCCAATAAACATAAAGCGTGTTAAGAATCCCAACTGGCAAGGAGGCAAACAAGTTGGCTATTTACAAGCATGGTCGAGAAACTGAATCTGAACTAATCAGGATGAATCGGGACAAGCTAGTAGCCACAGCGGGAGTCGAACTGAGCATCACCGGATTGTGAGACTGGCGCTGTGACCATGCCACTCGACAATACTGCCTCCTCAAAAACATTCGGAATTGTTGATCAAAACCTACTCTATAATTTGCTGGAGACAGCGGAGGACAAAAATAGTTGAGTTAATTTTATTACAGAAACAACGAATAGAGTTGATAATAGCTTTAATAGCTTTAAACTATCCCAAAACCTTCTCTTTGAAATCGTTTTAACAAAGCAGTGATAGTACGTTCTGTGCTATGGTTTAGTCAACAACGGCTATTCCCCGATTTGATGTTAAGTTACTAAAATAAGGTATGGGAGAATGGGACGAGCGATCAGCGGTATCACTATTTAAAAGTGTCATGGCGACCATAATCTAGCTGGGGTTTTTTTTGAAACAGACATCTGCCAAAATCATCCGTGCCAGTGGTTCGTAATCATGATAATCAGTATCACTTTTAGTATTTAGATCTATCCATCCATACAGTTCATCTCACGAGTACTTATGGTTGTTGTATTTGACAGGGTGTGGTCTATCCATCCATTCAGTTCATTTCACGAGTACTGATGCTTGTGGCGTACTTTACCGGGTGTGGTCTATCCTTCTGTATTCTTTTTTTTTAAGCGTATTGAAATTGTTTAGCTAGTATAGTGTACATCCGTACAGCTCAGCTCGCATTGATATATGATGTACCCAATCTAAAACGACAATCTTGATGTACCTTGCATCGATCTTGTTTGGTAACTCGTTGGTGACTATGGTGTTTCTGTCGGAGTTACCCTTGAATGTCTGCTCAACAAAGATATATGAAGTTTTTGAATCAATATATAAATTTGCTATCACAAAATCGTTCTAGCTTTATTCCTATAGGTTTGTCAAACACTTATAGCTAAGGTAATTTTTTTAAACTTCTTAAACTAAGAGAGAACTCCCACTTACCTTGACTTGATTGTCATAATTGCATGAAGTCCAGTTAAATCCGTCCAGACTGAACTGTACTTGGTACTTGGTCACCCATTCGTTGGAACCGTGTCTACCTTGAGTAGCCACTTCAGTTATGGCCATAACAGTACCAAGGTCTATCTGTAGGTACTCTCCCGCTATATTCTTCTTAGAGCTCCACACGCTCTTACTATTGTGTAGACGACCTTGCCATGGTTCAAAGTTACGTCCCAAGTACGACGAAGCTGTGATTTGGACGTTGGAAATACGGCCTCGTTGCATCCCCAGAGATTTATTGCATTCTTTAAAAAAATATTTTTGGCATCTTAAAATGGAAGGAGAGATCAAGGGAGCGAGAGATGTATGAATATTGTATCATGTATCGCCAGACAATATTTGGTCTGATCGATACTATACGCTAGCGAAGCAAATAGCATTATCATTTTAAGTATTTTAAAATACTAAAGGAAAATCGAAAATATTCGGTCAAGCTGCCCCCGGCTGCAAGTTTCCTGTATAATCCCTATATAATATGAAGGAAATGTCGACTTTCAAGACTTACCCTGACATCGATGGTTGATTCCATCGCTGTTCATTAAACAAGAAATACTTGATTTACTGCACAGTTTCAAACTACAAAAAGCCATTGGATGAAGAAAGTAGATCAAATAGGTTCCCTGACTTGCGGGGACAAAATCCTCAGGGGAGGAGAGGTGAGTAGCGTTGTTCAGGTCACACAGGCCGTGGTCTGGGTACCAGTTAATACTGCGACATTTTGAGTCAGCTCCACATTTCTGCGTGCAATCAGAAAAGCGTGTTGCCTTGGTCACCCGAATTACGTGGTTTACTAGCACGTGACTCGACTGAGACTGCGCTGTTGAGCATTCAAGTGCTAATGATGGCTGTTGCCACAGCAACAAAACTAGAACAAGCAAATGGACCTTGGTCTTCATTTCTATCGATCTCCTTTTCTTGCCGAAGTGATATATGACAATTTGTTGCTGGAATAAAAAGCATACAGTGTAATACAGTGCAAAACAAAAGAATAAGACATTTTTACTGACTGAAATGAAAAGATTATTGATTATATCACTCGGCATGATATGAAGGAACTTTACGTTCTGTCACGTATGGTGGTGGTAATTGTGAGGCGGATTCGCTCTATGATATTAGATTTTACAGTTACCTTAAAATTGAAAAAACTACGATACAACCTGAAATGTTAACCAATGAAAATAACCAAAATATTTCTCGAGGATTTGCAGATTTAAAAATAATAATGATAGCATATAAAATACTTAAATGAAAAGCCTATTGAGTGCATGGTTCTCGATCTTAGATCGATCTGATCTAGAGACAGCGCTGTTGTCAGTTCCGATACCCTTGAACTGGAAACAGCGGACTAGCAAAGATATTTTAATTAAATTTCTATCTAACTTACCTTCAGCTTCTGATTTTTGAGTAATATAAAAGTTTTGTTCGCTTCAGTATTGAACGCAGATTTCACTGCTGTTGAAACGCAACACTGCAGGTAGGAGTGGTCTATAGGAATCGAATAGTATGGAAATAGCTGGGAATTTTCATTATAGTTAATCTTTTTTAAGCTGAGGATTTGTAAATATTGCACTTTGGCGTGAAAAAATGAACGGATATTGTATCAGATGAATTAATGACTCACATGTTTTAAATTTTTCTTTTGCTTCTTATCATTCTCTTCTCAGCTGTTTTTTTGGGGTTTTTTTTCCTGTTTTTAAGAAGAAGGCAATTTTAATCTTAGCTGGCAGAACTGATCGGTGCATGAAGTACAAAAACGTAACGAAACAAACAAAGACAGAAGGAATGATTTGGTTAAGTAACTGCTCTTGTCCGGCATCCGATTCCGGCACAACAAAATCGAATAATTGAAAACCTAATTTTATAATTGATCCCTTTTAATATTGAGTAAACAACGGCCTTTTTTATCGAGTTGCTAAAAGTCCTAAGAGTACAGACTTCAGAGCAAAGTAAATACATTTGTGGGCATAAAATTGTTGGTAAACACCAGATACTGTCAATTCCGCTCGGCTGTTTCTTTAATACCAAAAGGCCAAGGAAATGAGAAAAGCCGCCTACAGCAAATTAAAGTAAAAAGTAGCGATTCGTTAATTGACCCAAAAAGTAAAGTGCCAAAGTGATGACGTCACAAAACAATTTTTTTTTTCTTGAGAACTTAGGATTTCGGAATATTATTAGAAACTACATAGAAAACTTTTTTTCCGAAGGAGAACGCTATCTTCAGGTGTCTTGCTCAATTCATCGAATTTATAACGGTACGAAAGTGTATTTTTTGGGGGAAAAGAAAAAAACAAAAAACAAAAAAACACGAACAAACAAGCAACCATCGTTTAATTAGATCCCTGGTTCTATACTCAGAAAAATAAAAGTTTATATTCCAAAATGGTTTGAACAAAGGTATTTAAGAGTGCTCTTTTAACATTTCAACTTTCAGTTTATTGTCTTTGTTTTATTTTTTACGTGTAAACAGATTGCAAGGTTCTCTAGCACTGCATGAGTCTGCAAATGAGACTGAAAGGCAATCCAGTGACGCCTATATGGTGTTCTTTCTGCAGACCTTCGCGATCAAACTGTTAAGAATTGCAGCTGCATGATCGATGAGGTTTCTAAAGGACGCCAAGAGAAAGACTTGTTTGGAACTCCCAGTGATGATTTTTAGTTCATTTGGATCAACATCATCACCAATACCAATAGCAACCATTGTGCATCCCATGTCCTGTTAAACGATAAAGCATGACAAATATATCACTGAAAACAATTTGAAGCAGTGGCGTTGAAGCATGTCCCATATATCACGACTCTTTGATGCTATTTTGAGGATCATTCATGTTGTTAATTTGTATTGCCTGAAATGATTTTGAACCAATCAGGTTCTTTCCCCAAAAACGATCGAACGGTAGCTATGATCGTTACAGATTCCTTCTCTCTTTTTATTATTTTATCTTGGTATTTACCCTTAGTTCCCTAGAAGGTACAGGAAGCCTTTCAAAGCCATTCCAACTGTTTCCATCTGTAAGAACCACCACAGTCTTAGGGACGCCATCTCGCTGAAAGGGCGTGATGATTTTGTCTTTCAAACACTTCAGGGCGTTGTCGGTGAGTGTTGATCCTGCGGTATACTCCATATCATTGATGATCTAAGAAAACATCAGTGTAATATCAGTGTAATCAGTGGAATATTCGCCGAAGGGGAAGTGATAATACCGAGCCACGAGGTAAATATCCACCATAAGCACTGAGGGAAATAATTGTCTTAGTATAATTGTATAATTTTAAACCTGAATATCAGAGAAAAGACGAAATCACTATAATAACGTTTTGTAACTGACTAGTGTTTTTCTGGGACTGAAATACCCCACTCGTATTTTTCATGCAAACTAGCTGCGCTCACTCGTGACATCTTTTCACTACTCGAAGATAAACTTCATATCGACCGCCACACGGTTAGCTCAGTTGGTAAGAGCGTCGGTCTGTTGTGCGGAAGGTCGTGGTTCGAGTCCCGGCCGGACCAACACTCAGGGTCTTAAAATAACTGAGGAGAAGGTGCTGCCTTTGTAATTACATCTGCAAATGGTTTAGACCTTCAGTTAACCGACACCTACTTCTCTAATCCGATCAGCAGATATCCCATCACTGTCTAACCATGTCAGGTCTATATAGCACTTCTCGTCGAAGCGAGCGATGCCTAGTCTTGATTTCCCTTTGGACGAAAAGTCGTAGCGAGTAATGAACTTCTTGAGGAATTCCTGTACGAGCTTGAAGTTGCCTTTGCCGACGCTGCCGGACACGTCTACCAGTAGGATGACGTCTGAGACGTAGGAACATTCTGGGATAGAATGAGGTAATAGGTTTAACATTACATGAACATAATCACTGGGAAGTAAGAGCGGAAAATAAGGAAGGAAAGGAGAGATGGAATGGATCCCGGAAAAAAGGATGGATGAATGGATGGATGGATGGATGGATGGATGG